AAGTAAAATAAAGACTTTCCAACAAATAGAAATTAAAAGAATTTGTCACCACTCATCCAGTGATGTGCTACACATAGAGAGAATCATAGTCATCATTATGACAGACTGTGAAAGCAGAAAATCTCCTCTTAAAAGCGCAAAAGAAATCCAAAGCGAACAATGGGAATATTTATCTAAAAACAGCAAGATCATGTAATATTTCACCAATAATAACCTTGAATATAAATGACTTAAATTCTCCAATTAAAAGATATAGACTGGCTGACTAGATTAAAAAAAAAAAAGACCCATCTATTTGCTGCCTGTAAGAAACACACTCACCAACAAAGATACACACAGACCAAATCTGAAAGGATAGAAAAAGATATTCCGTGTTAATGAAAAGCAAAAATGAGGTGTAGCCATTATATATGCACCAATGCCAGGGTGCATGGCTATTTAAAATAAACATTAATAGGTATAAAGGGAGACATAGACGCCAAAACAATAATAATGGGGAACTTCAACACCCCAATTTCATCAATGGACAGATCAACTAGAAAGAAAACAAACAAACAACAGAGCTAATCTACACTATGGACCAAATTGATATTTACATGATATTTTATCCACAGTTGCAGAATAAACATTTTTTCATCAGCACATGGAACTTTCTCTAGGATAGACCATATTCCAAGCAATAAAGCAAGTCTCAACAAATTTTAAAAACTTAAAATAATGCTATATGTCTTTTCTGACCACATGGAATGAAGCTGGAAATTAACAATTTATCAGTCTCCAGAAAGTATGCTAACACATGGAAGCTGAACAACATGCTTCTGAATGAACAATGGGCCACAGAATAAATTAAAATGGAAAATATCTTTCAAAAGTGAAAAATTAGTAACTTTCTCATACAGCTAAAACCAGAGGAAATCCATCACCAGCAGGCCTGTTCTTGTGAGAAATGTTAAAAGAAGCTCCATCAGGAGAAGGAACTGATCACACAGACCTATATGAAGAAAGAAAGGACTCCAGCAACGGAATAAAGGAAAGTAAAATAAAACTGTTTTTCTTATTCTTAATAAAAAATAATAGCAATAGCAACAACATCAAATTCTGAGATCACAGTATATGTGTAAGTGAAATGATTGACAGCAATATTATAAGGGACAGGAGACAAGGATTTGGAAAGTTTCATTTTTAGGAACCTGGACTATCTGTGAAACAGTCTAGGGTTGTTTGAGATTGTACTTTGAATGGCTGTAAATTTGTATTACAAACTCTAGAGAAAATATTAAATTTTAAAAGAAATACAATTGGTAAGCTAGGAGAGGAAAGAAAATTGAATCCAATAAAAAGTTTGTTTGACAATATCTTAAGGGAAAACATTGAGAAGGATGAAGAAACAACAAAACAGAAACAACAGTATAGAAATAGTAAGTCTTTACATATCAATAATTTTAAATATAAAAGAATTAAAATTTCCACCAAAAGACAGAATAACTGAATGATTTTAAAACAATACAAGATCCAACTATATGCTGTCTCTAAGAGACACACTTCGGGGGCTGACATTGTGGCACACTGGTTAGGTTACTGCTTGAGACACCAGCATCCCATATCAGAATGCCAGTTGGAGTCCCAGTTGCTCTACTTCCAATCCATCTTCCTGTTAGTGTGCCCAGGAAGGCAGCAGTTGACAGCTCAACACTTGGGTTCCTGCCACCCTTGTGGGAGGCCAGGACAGAGCTCCTGGTTCCTGACTTTGGCCTGACCCAGCCTTGGCTATTATAGCCATTTGGGTGGTTAACAAGTAGATGCAAAATCTCTCTCTCTCTCTCTCTCTCTCTCTCTCTCTCTCTCTCCCCTAACATTCTCTTTCACTCTTCTTTTATGTTTATTTGAAAGAGTTAGAGAGAGAGGTGGAGACAGAGAAACAGAGTTGAGTGGGAGGTGTCTTCCATCTGCTGATTCACTCCCCAAATAGCCAGAACTGAGCCAATCCAAAGCCAGGAGCTTCTTCTGGGTCTCCCATGTGAGTTCAAGGGCCCAAGGACTTGGGAAATTCTCTGCTGCTTTCCCAGGCACATTAGTAAGGAGCTGGATTGGAAGTGGAGCAGCCAGGACTCAAACCAGCACCCATATGGGATGCTAGCACTGAAGGCCAGGGCTTTAGCCCACTGCACCACAGTGCTGGCCTCCACACTTCTTTTCAAATAAATAGATCTGTTCATAAATATATAGAGACACACACATGATGTTTAAGGGTACACATAGACTAAAAGAGAAGGGATGAAAAAAACATTCCATGTAAATGATAACTCAAAGAAAGCAGAGGTAGCTAAACGTATCAGACAAAACAGATTTTGTATATACACAAGGGCAGTGAAATCAGCACCTCAGAGCAAAGTCAGCAATCATATGTCCATTAAAGCATGATTCACAATAACCAAGGGATGCCTGGGGAAAATGGCTATATTGAGATTCAGAAAAGAGCTCTGCCATCTGCCATAGCATGGATGAAAGAAGAAGACATTATGCTAAGTGAAATAACCCAATAGTGTGTTATCTCACACGTGGAAGCTTGCTTAAAAAGTTGAAAACAGTGAGACCGGCACTGTGGTACAGAGGGTAAAGCCGCCACCTGCAGTGCCAGCATCTCATATGGGCACCAGTTCAAGTCCTGGCTACTTCACTTCCGATCCAGCTCTCTGCTATGGCCTGGGAAAGCAGTGGACTATGGCCCAGGTGTTAGGCCCTTGCACCTGCATTGGAGACCTGCAAGAAGCTCCTGGCTGCTGGCTTCGGATCAGCCCAGCTCTGGCTGTTGCAGCCATTTGGGGAGAGAACCACAGATTCTCTCTCTCTCTCTCTCTCTCTCTCTCTCTCCCTCTGCCTCTCTGTAACTCTGCCTTTCAAATAAATAAATAAATCTTTAAAAATAAAGTTGAAAACATACGGAGTAGAACCCTTTTTATCTGAGGAGAGGGAGTAAAAGAAGGAAATGAGAAAGTGAGTCAGTTACTTAAACATACACAATTTGTCATATACCATAAATACATACAATTAAAATCATATAAAATATTATCCAAATAAAAGTATACTAAATAAAATAAAGTTAATTCTTCTTTAAAACTATAAACAGAAGGAAAAAGGGGAAGACAGAAAGTACAGGTTCGGTGAGTTACATTTACAGAAAAGGCAGCTGTTAACCCAACCATATTAAAAATGATTTTAAATATGAATGATCCAAATTCACAAATAAAGGGCAAACTCTGAGTGATTTAAAAAGTCAAGACTAATCTGTATGCTGCCTACAATATTTGAATATAAAGAGACACATGGTGCAGATGTTTGACATGTCTCAGCAGGAGGAAAATCAGTAAGTATGCCTGAATAGCACCATCAATCAACTTGATCAAATTGACATGTATCTAAAACTTCATTCAAGAATAGCAGAATACACATTCTTCTCAAGCACACTAAGAAAGACAATGTTCTGGGCTTTTAAACACATTTTAAAACATACACACACATACACAAAGACACTGTTATGATATGTTGGGTTATTGTTACTGTTTATTTATACTGTCTTACCCAAAGATTATATGGCAATAATAACTTAAGCAGAGAAACCTATAAAGAATAATTCTATGATAGATTCAGGAATGCTGCTTAGTGAATAAATCCTTAAGACTTTAGCATTAAAAAAAACAGAAATCATACAAAATGTTTTAAATTTCCCAGCAGAATTAAACTATACATCAACAAAAATAAACAGATACAAATCCAGATATACTTGCAGATTATAAAAAATATTAAGGGGCCAACGCCATGGCTCACTTGGTTAATCCTCCACCTTCAGCGCTGGCATCCTATATGAGCACCAGGTTCTAGTCCCGGTTGCTCCTCTTCCAGTCCAGCTCTCTGCTGTGGCCCGGGAGTGCAGTGGAGGATGGCCCAAGTGTTTGGGCCCCTGCACCCACATGGGAGACCAGGAGGAGGAGGCACGTGGCTCCTGGCTTCGGATTGGCACAGCGCCGGCCATGGCGGCCATTTGGGGAGTGAACCAACTGAAGGAAGACCTTTCTCTCTGTCTCTCTCTAATCTCTCTCTACAACTCTACCTGTCAACTATATATATATATATATATATATATATATATATATATATATATAGGGGCTGGCAACACTGGCATCTCATATGAGTCCTGGCTCAAGTCCTGGCTGCTGCACTTCCAATCCAGCTCCCTGCGAATGTGCCTGGAAAAGCAGAAAATGATCCAAGTACTCGGGCCTCTGCTACCCACGTGAGAGATCCAGATGAAGCTCCCAGTTCCTGACCTCAGCCTGGCCCAGCCCCCGCCATTGCAGCCATTTGGACAGTGAACCAGTAGATTAAAAGACCATTCTCCCTCTCTCTCTACAACTCTGCCTCTGCCTTTTAAATAAGCAAAATAATTTTTTTTTTTTGACAGGCAGAGTGGACAGTGAGAGAGAGAGACAGAGAGAAAGGTCTTCCTTTTTGCCATTGGTTTACTCTCCAATGGCTGTCGCGGCTGGCGTGCTGCGGCTGGCGCACCGCACTGATCCGATGGCAGGAGCCAAGTACTTATCCTGGTCTCCCATGGGGTGCAGGGCCCAAGCACTTGGGCCATCCTCCCCTGCACTCCTGGGCCACAGCAGAGGGCTGGCCTGGAAGAGGGGCAATCGGTACAGAATCCGGCGCCCCGACCGGGACTAGAACCCGGTGTGCCGGTGCCGCAAGGCAGAGGATTAGCCTAGTGAGCCACGGCGCCGGCCACAAAATAATTTTTTTTTAAAAATACCAACTCATTGGTCAAAGAAGTATCAAGACAAATTTAAAATATTTTAAACTAAATTAAAATGTAAAAACAATTTATCCAAATGTGTGAGATTCATCAGAAGCCATTCTCAGAGGGGAAGTGAGAGCTTGAAATCCATATGATTAAATAAGAAGAAAGGTCTAGAATCCCTGAGCAGCTCTGGTTCACCTACCTGATTGATGTCTCTCTGTTTCCAAAATAGTGGGAAACACAGACTCGTCATCAGGTAGCACAGGGACAGAAAGAAGATCCCGAGCCCACACAGGAAGTCGGGGATTGGAAGACCCAGGAGGTCAAACTGGAGCTCAGCCATGGTGCAGGAAGGCCCCTCGGACGAGGAGGGTGGTCCCCGCTCGGAGAAGCTGGGCACTGCAGTGCACATTCTAGACCAGAGTTCCAGGCCCACATCACAGAGCTTTCAGCACACTAGCAGGGGTTCTTGAGGGCGGGGGAGGGGGCAGCATTGGGCCATGAACCCACAGTCGTCCCCCACCCTCTGGGCCAGCAGAACTGTCCATCTCCCTGGGGCCCTTTAAGTCTTCCTCCCTACCCCTGATCCTGACCTGTGCTCTATAAGGTGTTTTGGCCTTAGTGACATTTCCCGTTTACTCTACCTGTAGCCTAGCTACTGCCTAAGACCCGTTCCCAGCTTGGCGAGCCCCTCTGAGCACCACAAAATCTCACAGTGTCAGACAGGCCCAGGGAGTTGCACCCTCCGGTTCTACTCTGTCCCCACACACTCAGTGTTGTTAATAATCTGCATAAAAATAAAGAAAAAGAGGCCACCGAACAGAAACTGACCCCATTCCCCATTTCTTCAGAAGCATCTCCATTTACCAGCAACCATTAGAGAACAGAGTAGCCTGAGCCAAAGCCAAAAAGCATGGGGGAAAGGGAGACAGGAGCAACCTGCCCATGGTAAGATAGTTATAATCCCTCAGTAATTCTTTTTCTCAGAACCCCTTTGGGGTTATTCTGCCCCTAAGGGGTCTCAAAGTTAGTGCCCTGCACCCATGCTGTGCACTCTCTGGTGCTCCCTCATTCTTCCCTCTTCCAAACCCTGTCTCCTTCCCAACATTTAAAATTCTGCTTCAGCTTCACAGAGATTGTCCTGGGCTACAACCTGCACAGCCAAGCCCATCTTCCTTCAAGGAGCAGTCTTCTCTTTAGCAACCTGTGACCCCTGATGAGCACATGTGAACTTACACTTAGCGATGCTTTCACACAATGGTCACTTGCTCCATGGCAGGTTTTATATGAGTTCTTCCCATCTTCGTGGTAACTTTTCACCAAAATTCCAATAGTCTCCTCTGTACAAAATGTATGGAGGTTTTAACCATGATGTGATTTTAGTTGATGGTGTATCTGAATTTGTTTTATCCCATGTTAGGTATTTTTAACTGTTATAACTCTTACAGTGTTATTATTTAAATGATAAATTGCTGAAATTAATCTCCAGGTCATTTTCTTTTTTTTTTTTTTTTTTTTTGACACACACAGAGGGGACAGTGAGAGAGAGACAGAGAGAGAAAGGTCTTCCTTTGCCGTTGGTTCACCCTCCAATGGCCACCGCTGCAGCCGGCGCACCACGCTGATCCGATGTCAGGAGCCAGGATCCAGGTGCTTTTCCTGGTCTCCCATGGGGTGCAGGGCCCAAGCACCTGGGCCATCCTCCACTGCACTCCCTGGCCATAGCAGAGAGCTGGCCTGGAAGAGGGGCAACCGGGACAGAATCCAGCGCCCTGACCGGGACTAGAACCCGGTGTGCCGGCGCCGCAAGGTGGAGGATTAGCCTATTGAGCCACGGCGCCGGCCCTCCAGGTCATTTTCTTATATTGCTTGCCTACATTCCTTCCTGAATCCAATGAATCTGCCTTACTCTGTCACTTAATCCTTTCCTTCTCATATGATAAAGATCTACCAGTAATGGTAGTGCTCTCTGCTCATAAAATCCTTCCATGTAGCATTGCTTCTCTCACACTTTTTGTTGTTGTTTGTTTGAAGCAAGTACAATCTTGGCAGACCCCTTAGGTCTCTGGGACTCACAAATGCAAAAACATGCTTAGAAATCAGAGCAAGATAAATTTCATTAAAAAATCCAGGTGAGAAGGGGTTATAAAATGGCCCATTGAATTTTTTCTTTCAAAATAATCATGTCACTAAAAATAAAAAGTTGAGAAATTGTTCCAGATTAACAGAAACTAAAGACACATAAAACTAAACATAGCACATGATTGTAGACTGAATCCTGCAGTGCTGATACTTTTTAAAAAGGCACATAGGGTGGATATTGTTGGCCCAGCAGCTCAAGCTACTGCTTGGGATGCCCACATGCCATACCAGAGTGCCAGATCCAACTTCCTGCTAATGCATCCTGGAGGACAGCAGACAATGGTTCAAGCATGTGGGCCCCTTTCATCCATGTGAGAGACCTGTATTGAGTCCCTGACTCCCGGCTTTGGCCTGGCCCAGCCCTGACTGTGGTAGGTATTTAGACAGTGAGTCAACAGATGGAATAGCTCGCTCGCTCGCTCTCTCTCTCTCTCTAACTCTGCCTTGCAAGTAGACTAAAAATCAATACATAAGCATTCTTTGAAAGGCATAAAGTATACTACTGGATAAATTGCCGAAAATATGAATGGGAGATGAACTGAAAGTGGTACAGCAATATTAAATTTCTAATGGGTATAACTGAGTGCACAAGAAAATTGTCTTAATAAATACCATGAAATGTTTAGAGAGAAAATAAATGATACATAAAATGTATTTTCATATATTTCAAGTGTATGCATATTGTTCTGGCCCATATGTCTGTGTGTGTGAAACACAGACAAAGACAGATGAGAGTCCCCCAACAAATCAAGTTTACACTAGGTAAATCTGAACATAGAGTATGATGCTTGTCACCCATGCAACATTTCTTCCAGTTTAATGACCTTCAAAAAACACATTTTAATAACAAATCATCGCCTCTGTTATTCTGAGTTTCACCTGACCATTGAGACACTCGGCTTTAGTTCCTGGACTTGCCACCACCACACTCAGCCCCCAGCAAACAGATGTCGCAGTTTCTGTCCCAGGCAACAACCTGGGGCACTCTTTCCACATTTGAAGCAACTATCATTTCAGCAGGGTTTTACACATTGCTGGAAAAGATCACCAAAGATGTTTTTAGTGATACACAATGTCAAAAAAAAAAAAAAGAGAGAGAGAGACAGAGAGACAGAGAGAAAAGAAAGAAATTCAGGGAACCATGTTTTCAGCTTGAAATCCATTTCTTTCTTATTCAGTGCCACCCATGCCTCATGTTCCTTTTTTTTTTTTTTTTTTTTTTTTTTTTTTTTTTTTTTGACAGGCAGAGTGGACAGTGAGAGAGACAGAGAGAAACATCTTACTTTTGCCGTTGGTTCACCCTCCAATGGCCTCTGCGGCCTGCGCATCACGCTGATCCAAAGCCAGGAGCCAGGTGCTCCTCCTGGTCTCCCATGGGGTGCAGGGCCCAAACACCTGTCATCCTCCACTGCACTCCCGGGCCACAGCAGAGAGCTGGCCTGGAAGAGGGGCAACCGGGGCAGAATCCGGCACCCCGACCGGGACTAGAACCCGGTGTGCCGGCGCTGCAAGGCAGAGGATTAGCCTAGTGAGCCACGGCGCCAGCCTGGCCTCTGCTGTTCTCTCCTCTTACCAAACTCAAGAACTTAGCCTTTTCAAACCCATTACGTTTCTGACAGTTTTATTGAAATATAGTTCACATACAGGCCAAGTCATGCATTTGAAGTGTATAACCCTGGAGTATTTTGTATATTCAGCTTTGTGTGCCCTCCACCAGAATCCAGTTTCAAACATTTTATGACTTCAGGAAGAAACTCCATACCCTTTAGCTTTACTCGTCACCCCTGACAGCCTAGCAATGAAAAACCCACCCATCCAGCCGGCACCGCGCTCACTAAGCTAATCCTCCACCTGCGGCGCCAGCAACCCCGGGTTCTAGTCTCAGTTGGGGCGCCAGATTCTGTCCCGATTGCTCCTCTTCCAGTCCAGCTCTCTGCTGTGGCCCGGGAGGGCGGTGGAGGATGGCCCAAGTGCTTGGGCCCTGTATCCGCATGGGAGACCAGGAGGAAGCACCCGGCTCCTGGCTTCGGATCGGCACAGCGCGCCAGCCGTAGCAGCCATTTGGGGGGTGAACCAATGGAAGGAAGACCTTTCTCTCTGTCTGTCTCTCTTTCTCTCTCTCTCTCTCTCACACTATCTAACTCGGCCTGTCAAAAAAAAAAAAAAAAAAACCATCCACATTCTGCCTCCACAGATTTCCCATTTCTAGAAATTCCATAAGAATAGAAACATATAATATGTGGTTACTTCTGACTCATTCCGTCTCTCAGCATAATGTTTTCAAGATTCATCCTTGTTGAAGCCTGCATCAATTCTTTACTCCTTCCTATGACTGGAGAATGTCCCATTGTACAGATATACCACACTTGTTTCTCCATTGGTCAGTTGACGGACATTTGTGTTTTTCCAACATTTTGGCTATTATTAATAATGTTGTTGTGAACATTTGTGTACAAGCCTGTGTGTAAATGTGTATTTTAATTCCCCTTGGCATATACCGAAGATGGGAATTGCTAAGTCATGTGGAAACTCTGTTTAACATTTTGAGGTACGGTTGGATGATGCTGTGGAACAAACACTTTTCATTTTTCTACAGTCTCTACGAGGCTATTTATCTGATGGTTTTTTTTTAATCTTTTATTTAATGAATATAAATTTCCAAAGTACGACTCATGTGTTACAATGGCTTCCCCCCCATACCGTCCCTCCCACCCACAACCCTCCCCTTTCCCACTCCCTCTCCCCTTCCATTCACATCAAGATTCATTTTCGATTATCTTAATATACAGAAGATCAGCTTAGTATACCTTAAGTAAGTATTTCAACAGTTTGCTCCCACACAGAAACATAAAGTGGAAAAATAATAGATGATTTTTTTTAAATGATGATGAAATCAGATCAGACCTATTGTCATGTTTAATCCTCGGGAGAACTCAAGGGGGCTTCCCATAGCCTTGGGAAACTCATAACTGGGTGCATAGGGGAGATTTACTTGATGCCATAAACAGGGAGTGTCAATTGGTAAAGTCAACAACGGGAGTCACTGTGCACTTACTCCTCATGTAGGATCTCTGTCCTTAACGTGCTGTACACTGAGGCTTAATGCTATAACGAGTACTCAAACAGTATATTTCACTTTGTGTTTCTATGGGGGTGCAAACGACTGAAATCTTTACTTAATGTACACTAAACTGATCTTCTGTAAAAAAAAAAAAAAAAAAAAGAAAGAAAGAAATTATCAATTCCCAACTTGACTATCTGATGGTTTTGATTCATGCCAACCTACTGGGTGTGTGCCATGGTATCTCATAATTGTTTTAACTTGCATTTCCCTAAAGAGTAATGATATTAAGCACCTTTTGAATAATCTTATTTTGGAAATGAAAAGAAATGTCTATTTGAAGCCCCTGTACACAGGGGGATTCAAAAAGTCCATGGAAAGTGGATGTGCATTTTCAAAGAAGTTTTAGAACCCCTTTCATATTTATTATCTAGAAACACAAAATCTCATTTTGAATGTGGGACAGGAAAAGTAATTTTCTTCTAAACATTTGAAAAAGGGAATCTTAGCTTTCTATCCACACATAGTTTTCTATTTGTACACTATTTTCATGTTGCAGTTACTGTGTGATTAATCAACTGGAATATTATGTACTGAATTTGCCTTGAATATCACTCCCATGACGTAGGATAGGGATTCACTTAAAAGACTCCTCAGGGTAGACTAAAAGGCAGAGCAGAGCCGGATTCTGTCCTGGTTGCCCCTCTTCCAGGCCAGCTCTCTGCTGTGGCCAGGGAGTACAGTGGAGGATGGCCCAAGTGCTTGGGCCCTGCATCCCATGGGAGACCAGGAAAAGCACCTGGCTCCTGCCATCGGATCAGCGCGGTGTGCTGGCTGAAGCGCGCCGGCCCCGGCAGCCACTGGAGGGTGAACCAACGACAAAGGAAGACCTTTCTCTCTGTCTCTCTCTCTCACTGTCCACTCTGCCTGTCAAAAAAAAAAAGGCAGAGCAGAACTGATGAACAATGGCTATAAAGTTCAACCATTTTTATTCAGCAATGCTGTAGACATGTATTATGAATATGTTACTCATGAGATAAATATCTAAGAAATTGGAGGGCACTGATATAGGATTCATAGTATATATTCTAATATGTGAATGACAAGCTATTTAAATGGGCACTTGTACTTCAGTCATAGTATAAAAGTGAACTGTATTGCATATGTCAAATAAAACACTGCAAGTTTGGTGATGAGCACTAGAGTAGTTTTATTGCCATATTTGCTCTTGTGTGTGTAAACATGTTTTAATGAAATTCTTTTTTTAAAGATTTATTTATTTATTTATTTATTTGAAAAGCAGAGTTAGAGAGACAGAGGCAGAGAGAGATAGGCAGAGGCAGAGAGAGAGAGAGAGGTCTTCCATCCGCTGGTTCACTCCCCAACTGGCCGCAATGTCTGGAGCTGCACTGATCCAAAGCCAGGAGCCAGGAGCTTCTTCCAGGTCTCCCACATTGCTGCAGGGGCCCAAGGACTTGGGCCACCTTCTACTGTTTTCCCAGACCATAGCGAAAGCTGGATCGGAAGTGGAACAACCAGGAATTGAACTGGCACCCGTGTGGGATGCCAACACTGCAGGTGGCAGCTTTACCTGCTAAGCCAAAGTGCCAGCCCCCTGAAATTCTTTTTAGAAAACAAACATTGTTATCCATGAAAAGATGGAGGTAGCAACTAAGGACAGCTGGCAGGGGTGGGTCAGTAATTTAACTTAAACTCAATAGGACATTTGATGAAGGGTAATTCCTCTGAGGTTGGGGACCTCGGTTCCAGTCCCAGTCGGAGTGCCAGGTACAAGTCCCGGTTGATCCTCTTCCAGCCCAGCTCTCTGCTGTGGCCCGGGAGGACAGCGGAGGATGGCCCAAGTGCTTGGGCCCCTGCACCTGCATGGGAGACTAGGAGGAAGCATCTGGCTCCTGGCTTCGGATCGGCACAGCACCTGCTGTAGCAGCCATTAGGGGAGTAAACCAATGGAAGGAAAACCTCTCTCTCTGTCTCTCTCTGTCTATAACTCTCTCTCTGTGTCTCTCTCTCTCTCTCACTGTCTAACTCTGCCTGGCAAAAAAAATAAAAAATAAAAAGAGAGGGTGCCATGGTTGACACAATCCCTGCAGATAAAGCGTTAGTGATTAAGGAACAGTCCCATGTACACTTCTTCAATGTGACTTTAGTAAGCTCTGCAGTGCCTTGCTCAGCATCAGGGAAATGGTACCTGGGTTGAAAAGATCAGGGTGGGAAGGGGTGAGCAGGAAATGCCATGATGTGAGAAGTATGAGGCATATGCCTTTCTTCTTCCCCCAAGATCATCCTTCCCCTTCTTCACTTTTGCCTTAGTTACCACGTGATCTAAGGCATTTCTTCCTTACACGCCGTTTTATTTTGCCCTGGGAGGAGGGTGTCTCCTGATGCACATTCCTACCCCTGACAGCCGTGTGATCTTTTTGTACTGAAAAAAGATTTAATTAACCCAAGAGCATGAAAAAATCCCCAAAATGAGGGATCACTTACAAAAGGTGATTTTCCAAACCTCAATGGTAAGGACAAAGTATGTTTACCCAACATATTATCATGCCCTGCATTACAGAATCACCTATCCTGATCCTAGACCTCACAACAAGTAACCCAGTACCCACAAGCAATACTCTGCAGACACTCCCAACTCAAGAGACACCCAATGATGTGACTCTGGGGTCACTGGAAACATTCCCCAAAAATAACTAAGCCATTATATTCTAGAAAATGCATCAGTCCTTGACAATCTTTTTGGATATGAAAAACCTATCTTGTTTACTATACTAAAGGATTTGAAATAGTCAGTGAGGAGAGAGGTGCAGGCTTCCATACAATGTCATTAAAGCTAAACGAAGAGGTAGGAAACAGAGCTCATCTCCTCAAACTTCATTGAGATGGAAAGGCACTTAAACATACATTCTCAATGGAGCTCTGAGAGACTGGTCACCTTTCAAACACTAACAGAGGTGAACAGTAAGAGCTTATCTGACCCCTTCCTTGACCAAACCCACACCTCCAACATAGTACACAGACAAGATAGCATTCTCATTTGAGAATATTTATTGGGAAGAATCAGTATTTTCAAAAAGGATTTAATGATTTTAGCAGAGTAATTTTGCTACATGCAAAAGCTGGAGAAGCATTCTCTGTTTAAGAGCCGCCAGTAGTGGCAACGGCAGCCCAAGGCCTCTGGCCAAACTGACACCTACAAGCAGGGTTTGGATGTGGCACAGGCTCTCTCTGGATACCTCTGACACCATAGCTGGTCCCTGAATGGCACAACTTTCTTGGGCTCTCTGTCTCTGTGTTTCATGTGTGTATTCCTTGCAGGATAACTCTGGCCAGCAAATGCAGCTTCTTGGCGGCAGGACTTGGTACTTGTCCCTTTACAGGAAGTGACCCTGTGATTGAAGGGATGGCCCTGGACAGGTGCTGCCCCCATCTGCAATTCTGCCTGCCGCTGAGTTTTGCTAAACTTGACCTGGGTCGAAAGGGGCACTTGGTGGCAGGTCTTACCTGTTCCGTGATCATGCCCCAGCTTCTTCCCTGGAACCTTCCCACTAGCTGGCTTCACTGATTGAACCTCAGTGTTCCCGATGCACGTGGCTTGATTTTTACCTGGGCCCATGCTCTGCTCAGATGACAGGGAACGTCCCTGTTCCAGGAAACGATTTTGCCTTTCACATCTTCTGCTAGGCCAAATCCACTGCAGAAAGTGCTTCATCCGTTTTCTGAAATGGCTTTCAGCAGGGGGCTGCCCCTTCAGTGGCTGGGTTGGGGAATATTTGCTCTCAAGCGTGTCCTTTAATGTCCCACCCTGAGCAGCACGGATCCTTCTTCTAGGCTGGGATGGCCCTAAGCCTGCATCTCCTCCACCAAGCTCTTCTGGTTTGGGTTCTGGAGGGCTTACTGTCTTGGAAGCTGCTGGGAGATTCTTACCCTGGTTCTTCCTTAAAACACACACAGGGACACAGGGCTCCTGCATCTGCTCCCTGCTGATCCCTGTATTTTCCCCATGGACATGCCACACCTGAGAATCTGCTGTGTGCCTAGTGTGGGTGCCTCGGGTGTAAGTCAAGGCAGGCCTACATTTTAAGTTCCCTGAGGCAAGGGACGGATCAGTGGAATGGTCATGAGTCTGTCTATCATCTGTGTTATCCAAGTTTAACTTTAACTCACAAAGCAACTTAGTATTAATGCCTGATAATTTAGAATTTCTGGGTTCAGATATTTTTGGTGGAGGATGTTTAGAGGTCAACATAGTTCGTTTTTCACCCAAAGTCATTCCTATCACTGGGGAGCTTTTTGGCTCATTGGTTGTGAAGGTTTTACTCCATGGAGATGGAAGAGCACAGCGTTCCCTTGCCCTGAATATCTCCACGGACTTCTTATCTGTGGGGAAATGTTCTAGGTTTTTCAAGTGTTTTCCCTGAAGCCTTTCTGTTCTATTTCTTGAGATTCCTGTATTATCACTTGGTTCAGGCCCTGCCATAATTTGCCTTCTAGGTAGCGTTGGACTGCATCTATTGGCTAATGCAGGTGGTTTCTGTCTTGCTTTGTCTATGGCATCATCTGTGCAAGGCAGAAAGTGCTTCCTGCAATCATTAAGTCTCTGAATGTCATCTATTCGCTCATAGGTAATATCACAGGATGTTTTCCTTAAGACCCCCTGCCTTTTCTTGCACACAGGTGATGTGACAGAGGAATGATGATCCATACTTATGGCACAGATTCTTGCCCCCACCTTGTCTCCATGCAAAGCTGTAAAGTCTCCTCTACAGGGCTTGCTCACAGGTGAAGGGTGAGGGAAGAGACGATCCAGACCAGAGACAGAAAGTCTTGTCCCCACCTTGTCTCCATGCAAAGATATCGCAGTTCCTCTACAGGGCTTGCATACAGGTGAAGGGGAAGGAAAGGGACGATCCAGACCAGGGATAGAAAGTCTTGTCCCCACCTTGTCTCCTTGCAAAGATATTGAGCTTCCTCTATAGGGCTTGCATACAGGTGAAGGGGAAGGAAAGGGACGATCCAGACCAGGGATAGAAAGTCTTGTCCCCACCTTGTCTCCTTGCAAAGATTTCGCGGTTCCTCTACAGGGCTTGCATACAGGTGAAGGGGAAGGAAAGGGACGATCCAGACCAGGGATGGAAAGTCTTGTCCCCACCTTGTCTCCATGCAAAGATATAGAGCTTCCTCTATAGGGCTTGCATACAGGTGAAGGGGGAGGGAAGGGACGATCCAGACCAGGCATAGAAAGTCTTGTCCCCACCTTGTCTCCATGCAAAGATATAGAGCTTCCTCTATAGGGCTTGCATACAGGTGAAGGGGGAGGGAAGGGACGATCCAGACCAGGCATAGAAAGTCTTGTCCCCACCTTGTCTCCATGCAAAGATATTGAGCTTCCTCTATAGGACCTGCATACAGGTGAGGTGACAGGGAAAAGACCATCTGGATCAGGGTTAGAGATTCTTGTCCCCACCTTGTCTCCATGCAAAGATATTGAGCTTCCTCTATAGGGCCTGCATACAGGTGAGGTGACAGGGAAAAGATCATCTGGATCAGGGTTAGAGATTCTTGTCCCCACCTTGTCTCCATGCAAAGATATTGAGCTTCCTCTGTAACATCTGCACACAGTTGAGGTGGCAGGGAAATGATGATCCACATTGGAAACTGACATTCTTTTCCCTATCATGTTTCCAAGAAAAGACATAGAGCTTCCTCTATAGGGCTTACACACAGGTGAGGTGGCAGGGAAATCATGATCCAGTCCAGGAGCAGAGATCCTTATTCCCACTTTGTCTCCATGAAAAGATATGGAGCTTCCTCTACAGGGCATGCACACAGGTGAGGTGGCAGGGGAAGGACGATCCAGACTGGAATCAGAGACTCTTGTTCCCACCTTGTCTCCATGCAAAGCTATAGAGCTTCCTCTATAGGGCTTGTACATGTGTGAGGTGAGAGGAAAGGGATGGTCCAGATCAGAAAAGGAGATTTTTATTCCCAGCTTGTCTCCATGCAAAGATATGCAGCTTCCTCTGTAGGGCTGGGATACAGGTGAAGTGACAGGAAAATGATGATCCAGACTGGAGGAAGAGATTCTTCTTCCCATCTCTCCTCCATGCAAAGATATGGAGCTTCCTCTGCAGGGCACAGACTCAAGTGAGGTGGCAGCAGGACGACATAGACTGGAATCAGAGACTCTCGTTCTCACTTTGTCTCCATGCAGAGATATACAGCTCACGCTATAGGGCTCATTCACAGGTGAGGGAGCACGAGAAGGACGATCTGGATCAGAAACAGAGATCCGTATTCCCACCTTGTCTCCATGCAAAAATATGGGGCTTCCTCTAAGGGGCCTGCACACAGGTGATGTGGGAGGGGAAGAGCGATCCAGTCTGGAATCTGTGACTCTTCTTCCCGTCCTGTCTCCAAGCAAAGCTACGGAGTTTGCTCTATGGGGCCTGCACACATGTGACGTGGGAGGGGAAGGACGATCCAGTCTGGGATCAGAGACTCTTCTTCCCGTCCTGTCTCCAAGAAAAGCTATGGAGTTTGCTCTGTGGGGTTTGCACACAGGTGAGGTGGCAGGGGACGTATGATCTAGTCCAGGAACAGAGATTCTTCTTCCTATCTTGTCTCCAAGAAAAGCTACAGAGTTTCCCCTACAGGGTTTGCACACAGGTGAAGTTACAGGGAAAGGATGATCCAGATTGGAGAGAGAGACTCTCCTTCCCACTTTGTGTCCTTGCAACACTACCGAGCTTTTACTATTGGGCTTGCACACAGTTGAGATGGCAGGGAATGGATGATCCCGATCAGAAACACAGACTCTTGTTCCTACCTTGTCTCCATGCAGTGATATGGAGCTTCCTCTAAAGGGCTCTCTCACAGGTGAAGTGGCAGGGGAAGAATGATCCAGACTAGAGACAGAGACTCTTCTTCCCAGTTTGTGTCCATGCAAAGCTACAGAGTTTTTTCTACTAGGCTTGCACACAGGTGAGGTGGCAGGAAATGGACAATCCAGACTGGAATCAGAGACTCTTGTTCCCACTTTGCCTCCATGCAAAGATATAGAGCTTCCTCTATAAGGCTTGCACACAGGTGAGGTGGTGGGGAAAGACCTATCCAGACTGGAATCAGAGACTCTTGTTCCCACCTTGTTTCCATGCAAAGATATAGAGCTTCCTCTACAGGGCTTGTGCACAGCTGTGGTGGCAGGGAACTGATGATCCAAATCGGAATCACAGATTCTTGTTCCCACCTTGTCTTCAAGCAAAGATATGGAGTCTGTAAAGGACTGGGAGACACTAAGTTGGGAATCCACTTCTGATATAAGATTGGCTGAGGAGGGAAAGTTATAGTGGTCAGTGCACTGCGCTAGCTCCTCTTTCATTTTAAAGACTTCAATGGAATCAAGGACCTTTTTCGGAAGGCCCCATATCATCCTCAGACGAAAACTTTTGATATGGTATTCCAACATCTTTTTGTTGCTGGAACAAAGGAAAGAAATTTCATTGGAGGTATTGACATTGCTGGTTCTACTAACCAATGGGACCGAATCTTTTTGTTTCCCTCGTCTACAGGATTTCTCAGAAAGAGGCAATGTCTTCTTGATAGAATGCTGTGAACCAGGAAGAGTCCTACGGATTGGACTCTCCTTTATTTCCTTCCCTTTCTTGCTCAAATTTGCTTTCAGATCATTTTCAAGTTGTTTCTCATTTAGGCTCATACAGGAGGCCCTTGAATTATTTCCTGACAAATTCAACACTTGACATTCCAGGTCTTCCTCAGAATCAGACCATAGATCCATATCTGAGGACTTCCTTGAGTCACTCATCAAGTGATCACTTAAACCGCTCTCCTGAGTAGGTCTCCGGGACTTCCTCACATCTTCTAGAGGAAGAATTTCCAAGGTCCTCTTATAGAAGCTTCCAGGTTGGCTCAAGCCCAAATCCACTACATCCTTACTGATCTGACCTTTAAATAAACAAACCCCTGAGAGATCCTGATTGCTCTTTGACTCAGATGTATCAGAACCATCTCTCTGAGGGTTAATCAAGAACAAAGACTCAAGGACCTTACAAGGCAGGCCCCACCGATTTTGGATAAGCCTCTTTAGAAGGTGGTGCTCTAGTTTCTCCCGAAGCTCACTGTTTAGGACAAAATCTCCAGGAAGGATGGAAATTGAAATGTGAGGCTTGGAGGACTGGCTCACCAATGAAAGGTTGGGAGTTGGAGGACAAAAGTCTTTCTGAGATTTACAGACAACAGAGGGTAAACCCCACAAATTTTCCTGCTTTTTCTTCAGCAAGTGATGTTCCAAGTGTTGAGTTTCAGAAGGCAGGAGAGCCTCTGCCTCATTCAAGAGTTCATGGAGACCCACTCCACTGGTGCTAATCTGAGGTAGAGAATAAGGTGGCAAGATTGGGACAGAGGATTGAGGTTGATTCTCAGTGGGAACTTGAGACTGAGGTTGGCGCATATCTTGAGGCAAGGGTTGACTTTGGATTTCAGGCTCCAACAGAGGTTGGGGATCAGGAAGCTCTGGGGATTCCTGGGCTTGGGGATCAGGAACTGTTGAGGATTCCTGGGCCTGGGGATCAGGACGATCTGGGGAATTCTGGGCCTGGGGATCAGGCAGTTCTGGGGATTCCTGGGCCTGGGGATCAGGAACCACTGGGGAATCCTGGGCCTGGGGATCAGGCAGTTCTGGGGAATCCTGGGCCTGGGGATCAGGCAGTTCTGGGGATTCCTGGGTCTGGGGATCAGGCAGTTCTGGGGAATCCTGGGCCTGGGGATCAGGCAGTTCTGGGGATTCCTGGGCCTGGGGATCAGGAACCGCTGGGGGTTCCTGTGCTGTGGAGGTATCATACACACTACTGAAGACGACAAGGGTTGATGAACAACGACCTGAGACAAGGCCAGCAGGGTAAAGGAAGTCATGGTTCAGAGCTGGGCGATCCCAGGGAAGCTGGATACATTTTTTCTGAAGATGGTCCTCAAAGGTCTTAGAATACAGGGACTGCTGATCCAAGTGCATCTCCTGTGGTTTGCCTTTGCTGCTCCAATGAGGAAGGGACACTGCTGAGTCATGCTTGACAGAAACTGACTCTAGCATTTTCCCTGGAGAATGAAGTGGGACATCTGGCCTGTGTTGTTTTGGAAAAGGTCCTGCTGTCTTTTCCCTTTCCCTGTGTATCAGAAAGTCACCCCTCTTTCTGACTTGTCTCTCTAGGAGTGCCAGGGCATCTGGACTGAGAAATAAGAGATTACCTAGAAGGCTGGCTTCACGGTCAACCCCAATGGGTGCCTTGGATGAACTGAGGGCAAGAATATTCTGCTTGGCATCTCCTTGTGCCCAGTTTGAGATGGGTAAGTGCTTGGTACGACCTTGAGGCCAGATTTCTGATGTTGCCATGTCAGGAGATTGAGTGGCTTTGGTTTTTGGCTCATGGGTGGGCAACCCACAAACGCTGTCCCCCAGAGTCACTGTGACTTCTCCTTGGAGAACAGGATCTGTTCCCTGGCCTGGACAAGGTGGAGGAGGAAGAATGCGAAGCGGTTGTGTTGGAAAATGTCCCCCTGGGAATGAGAAATCCAAGCCAGGAGTAGGCTTTGGGGGCAAATTTGAGGGGGAAATTAAGTCTTCAAAGGAAGTATCCAGGTTAGTTGAGAGAGTTGAACAGGGAGATGGAGAAGGCTCAGGCACAGGGGGTGGTATTGGGTCTCCTGGAGCTATTGCCAAGAGGTCAGAGGTGAGACTTACTGAGGACTCGATCATAGAATCAGAGGATGGTGAAAAATACTGAGAGAGTGCAGCATGTTGCAGGGACCCCTGGGACAGCAGCTGCTGGATCTCTGCTGTTGTTCTATTACACACCTCACAGGAGGGCTCTGGACACAACATGTGACGGAAGGGTGTGCTGTCATGGTGGTGGCCCAGGGGACTGCAGAAGAAAAGAAGTACAAAACTGTAGCCAGGACCACAAAAAGGAAAGGAGGGCCCACTAGCCTAACGGGATTGGGGAAACCCCAAGCCCATTTCCTGCTTCATGTTTCCCACGTCCATGACTTTATAAACCACTTGATAAGTCCTCCCCAAGCCTTAATCCCATACCCTCCCCTATGACTATGGCAGGCTCTGTTAATTCTTGCCATGCATAGGGAAGGCTATAAAAGGAAACAGGAAAAGAAAATACGTCACCTTTTAAGAATGGAAAGCAGCTTCCTTGTCTCCTCTGTTTTTCTCCTATGAGATCTCCAACCTGGAAAACCAGGAGATGGGTTATATGTAAAAAAATAGAAGTACAAGAATCATAAAGATGTTCTTTTCTGGAAACATTTGGGTCATGAAACTCTGAAATCCCAAAATGGTAGACAAGGTCAAATGGCCAACAATATTAACAAGATTCTGATGTGCATGTGCCTTCAGTAAGAAAGTATTTCCACATATATCCTCTGTCGTGATAATAAAAACCAACATACAAAACATAGATGTCAGTGGTGACTTCAAAGAGGAAAAGTGATAATTCAGGATGTCAAATGACTTACACAAGTTGTGTACAAAAATTTTTATCCCAAACCAACCAACCAATAGTACTTCTTCCACATCTCACATCATGTTTTGGGAAGTACCCATTGCTCATGTCCATGCTTCCCGACCATGGATGGAAAGAGCAGGGACTATGAGAAGGGCCTCAGTTCTCAATGCCTTCCCTTGCACCTCTGTTTGCAGAGGTACTGCCTTTGGTGACTGACAGCTTCAGAGATCATGACTTGGGACTCAATAGAAGGAACATGAAAGTTCTTCAGAAAGCTCAGGGCAAATACAGAGAACCATACCTCTGAATGTTCCACCTTTCTGCCTCCTCTTGGCTCTACCCGGATGCTGGAAACAGAAAGAAAACAATGCAGACCTGGGACCCACATCTCTCGTTCTTCTCTAGGAGGATCTGACACTCATTTTTCAGGAACTGTATGCTTCTCTATTTTAATTAACAAATATATGTTCCTTTTTATTATTAATTTTTCAAAGTGACCAAATATTATCAATTTTCCTTCTTTGTAAAACATTACCCAGTGTTCTTAGTCTGATGTCCTCTGCTCAAGCAAGGCATAGGATCTGTGGCATCAATTCCATCTGTGTTCTCAGAGGATGCTCTGTCCTGGGTACAGAGCTCAGGCTACAGCCTCTGCTCAAAGGCCTGAGAGGTTCAGCATTGCTGTCCTGCTCAGTCCTACAGGAAGGAAGGCTTGGTCGAGGAACCCCTGTTCTGGGAATAGGACTCATGGCATAGGATGAAGAGACACACTTCTCCATCAGAGAACCTCTAATGAAACCAGACAGGACCACAGCATCACTGTGTTTGGGATTGTATGTCCTGACAGCCTCTACTGCACAAGATAGGTACTCTGTAAGCTACAGATAGAAACCATAATACTCTCTGAACCCCTGTCTCTACCCAACCTGTTCCCCTACAAGAGCGAGGTCTTGTCCTTTCCTCACACTTCCCTTCTGAGCCATCTCTGACCCAACCACATTTCTGTAGACATGTGACACTAGAAATGGGAAGCACCAACAACAAAGCATCTCTCCTGGGGGTTCCCCCATGGTTCCCTACCTTGGTTGGTAACAGCAGGTAGCAAAGGTAGAGAAGCAGCAGCCCCACCACAATCAGAAAGATGCAGCTGGGGACAGTATCTAAGTACACGGAGCTGAAGCTTTGCCAGGGCTCAGCGTGGCTCTTTAGAAACAAGAGAACCTGCTCCATTGTCGGAACTGCATGGCTCCCTGAGGCAACTGAGTTCTGAGAGTGTGCAGGCTCCACCAAAGTCCCAGGCCTACATCACAGAGCACGGGAGAGTCACAAAGGGCTTGTGAAGGTTGAGAAAGAACAAGGAGAGGAGGCTGTGGTCACAGCCCCTCCCCCACATGCAGCCCCCAGATCCCTTTGTCCAGCACAGCCACTCCATTCCGCCAAGGAGAATTCTTCTGTCCCTTCTATAACCCAGATGTGAACTGAGACCCCTTCCATGTCTGCAGCCCCTGACTTGGGCCCCACCAATTCCATGGCTTTGAAAGTCTGAATCACTGCCTGGGGTTTTTGCTGGTACACAGACATCTACACTCAGAGGACCACATACATCCTCAAGTCCATCTGACCTACACTAACCCAGATGTAAATCTAACACTCTTTTATACTTATTTATTCTTGTAAATGTTGAACAGTTCAATTCCAGTCAGCATTTGCTGACATTAAAACTACTAACAGTTCTTTATTCAAAAATCACAAAAATAATGAGAATGGGATAAATTTCTATAAATGTCATAAATAGGAATGTCATAAATAAGTTTATACCACTTATTTTTCTGATGTTAATGAACTTTGGACTGCACACTTTTGGAACATACTTGATACATATCAAATTCACTTATGTATGCACATGCACATACATGTAATTTGACAGATCCATATTTTCAAATGTAAGGGTCAATCTTTTCCTCCTTTTATTTCGATCTTCTCTTCCATATTATCATTTCACTTTTTCTAATGTGGCCTAAATTACAGACAGTCCCTGGCTTCCATATCAACATCACCACAGGTGTCTTGTAACTGCACCAAATACATCATTATTTTCTTTTTCTTATTCTGATTAACAAAGGCTTGCTGCTGTGTTTGGGACTAATTAGAGTGTCCGTACAAACGCATAAATAATGCTTGCTGTAATTCCAGAAATCAGCCTTAGGAAAACCAATTGAAGTTGCAAAGTAATCTGGTCCTTCCCAGTCAACACGACCAGAGGACTGAATGTATTTTAACAGTATGTAAAGGAGTACGAATAACCAAGGTCACAATAAATATAGACTTAAGGTTGAGTGCACTTCATCCTAATTAATGAAACAAAAGAATATATTTAAAATTTTTTATTTATTTATTCGAGAAGAATGGGGGGGGGGGTCTTCCATCCATTGGTTCACTTCCCAAATGGCGACAATGGTTAGAGCCAAGATGATCTAAAACCAGGAGCCAGGAGCCAGGAGCTTCTTCCGATCTCCCACACAGGTGCAGGGGCATAAGCACTTGGGCCATCTTCCACAACTTTCCCAGGCCACAAGCAGAAAGCTGGATCGGAAGAGAAGAGGCCAGGACAGGAACTGGTGCCAAATATGGGGTGCCAGAACTGCAAGCAGAGGCTTAGCCTACTACACCACCGCGCCAGCCCCCACAAGGGAATCTCTTGATACAATGCTTCGCCTCATTCAGATGCCAGTCAAATAACATTTTGTAATGGTTTAGTTGTACAAAAAATCTTGCTACTCCCTCTTCATCATAAAGGAAAGTCATCAAACAAGTTTCTCAAGGAACCACATTGACATTCAAGATTGATAAAATACTGTTATGAGACTCACAACCAGCCTTGGGACCTGATTATCTACTACTGACTTGCCATTAGTCACCTCCTCAGCATCCCAACCCTCCTTTTGCACTCCTTAAAAGCCTCAGACCTCCCACACTGATTAGTTCTTGAGACCTCAGTCTCCTACCATCCTCATTCACCAGTGAATTAAACTTTCTCTTTCCTTTACCCTCAAACCTTGTCTTCATTATTCTGATTCAGCACTGTTGACAAGGATTAGACTTTCAGTATTAATAAGACTCCTCAGGGCCGGCACTGTGGCTCACTTGGTTAATCCTCCACCTTCGGCGCTGACATCCCATATGGGCACCAGGTTCTAGTCCCGGTTGCTCCTCTTCCAGGCCAGCTCTCTGCTGTGGCCTGGGAGTGCAGTGGAGGATGGCCCAAGTGCTTGGGCCCTGCACCCCATGGGAGACCAGGAGAAGCACCTGGCTCCTAGCTTCAGATTGGTGTAGCTCCGGCTGTAGCGGCCATTTGGGGGGTGAACCAACGGAAAGAAGACCTTTCTCTCTGTCTCTCTCTCACTGTCTAATTCTATCTGTCAAATAAATAAATAAATGACTCTTTCAAACAGGTACAGGTTACAGTGTGCTAAGGTGCTAATTCCTCAGAGTCCTGGGTGGCAGGGTGCATCCTAGGAGGATCAGAGTCTTGGGCAGAATCTGGTCTGAAGCAGCTTCATGAGATTTCCTTTGTGGGCCATGGAAATGCAAACATTTCCATAGAGTGCCTTGCCATGGGAAAGGAACGGGAAGATCTGCAAGAATCTAGAAATCAACTCCCCTACACACTTTGCTCAGGCTCCTTGTCAGGTTTATGTCATCACAACATCCCTCCTCCACTCTGTCTACACCTGCTTGTCTAAACTCTACTGCCATGACAGCTGTCCCCTGACCTGTCACCTATCCCCATGATTTTCTTGAACATGAAGCCCTTTGCATTCTGCCTGTGACACGGCACTGTTTCCTGATCTCTGCTGAGGAGTAGGACAAGCTCCCTGTCTGGCAGTCTCTTCTCAATTATTCAGGAACAGATCTCTTACTTGGAAGTGAAAATGGGCCAACAGGTACCATCTCCTCTTTTGTTTGATATGCAGCCTCAGCCAAGTATGCATTTAATAAATACTTACTGCAAGAAACTGGGAGATGCATGCATCTATAAGTCATTGGCCTGTCGTTTGGACCAAATGGTGTGGTCACAGGTGAAATTCCCACCCAGCTCAAGAGCTATATAAATGCAGAGAGCTCCTGGCCCCCAGTTTTATTGTCAGTCATCTCTGGACTAGATCAGAGACTGTGAGTCATAAGGACTCCAACACAACCTGCTACTCAGCCCGGCATCCCTCCTTGACTACCCTTCCAGATTTTCTGATGCTAATTAAAGTTTCCTTGAGAAGATGGCCAAAGAACAGCATTCTCTTTTAAAATGACAATCTCTGATAGCCTTCCATAATAAATGTAACAAGGTTTACATACAGCATAAAAGACATTTCAGCCAAAAAGCTTTTCTCCGGATGCTAAGATTCCTTTTAATAACTTTGCACAAGCTTCTTCAAAACTTAAAGGAACAAGAGACTAAAAATACAACTTTTTTGGTACCAACAAAAATAACCACTGATATTGAATGGCTTAGATTCATAGCTCTCACACCTTCTATTAATGTCAGCTGTACATCATACAAATGCCCTGGGATTAAGATTAAAGCAGTTTGTGTTGGTGTCTGTGATGTGGAACAGTTGGTTTGGCCTTTTCTTGTGATGCCAGCATCTCAAATAGGACTGCTGGTTTGAGTCTTGGCTATTTGGTCACCTATCCAGCTAATGAGCCTGAGAAGGCAGCAGAAGATAATCCAAGTACTTGGGCCCCTGCCATTCACGTGGGAGACCACAACAGACTTCCCAGCTCCAACATTTCACCTGGCCTAGATCTGGCTGTTGTGGCCATTTAGGGAGTGGTTACTCCCCAAGATCTCTCTCCAGGTCGATCTCTGTCTGTCTGTCTCTCTCTCTCTCTCTCTCTCTCCTTCTGTCTTTGATGCTTTGCCTTCCAATATATAAACTTTTTTTTTTTAATTAACTGTATGGTTAAGAATATCCGCTTTGTCCAGCAAATGCTGAAATATGTGAAATAAAGAAAAGCTCTTATGGTATCCTTGTCACCTCTTAAGAAACTTTCTCCTCCCACTATTAACATGAGTGTCTGAATATTTCTTCTCTATCACACTCTCAATATCTGCTTCCAAGGACTATCCATATGACTGCCAATAAGGTATACATGAGTCAACAATTAAAACACTACATATCAAAACCTGAAAAAGCAGTATTAGGAAGGAAGTTTATAGCAATAAGTGCTTAATTTAAAAAGAAATGTCTATAGGGTCTGTGCTGTGAAATAGTGGATAAAGCCACCGCCTGCAGTGTCGGCATCCCATATGGGCACTGGTTCGAATCCCGGCTGCTCCACTTCCCATCCAGCTCTCTACTATGGCCTGGGAAAGCAGTAGATGAAAGCCCGAGTGATTGGGCCCCTGCACCCACATGGGAGACCTGGAAGAAGCTCCTGGCTCCTGGCTTTGGATCGGCACAGCTCCGGCCGATGCGGCCAGCTGGGGAGTGAACCAGCAGATGGAAGACCTCTCTCTCTTGCTCTCGCTCGCTCTCTCTGCCTCTTCTTCTCTCTGTGTGTGTAACTCTGACTTTCAAATAAAATATATAAATTTTTTTAAAAGAAATCTAATACAAATGGTCTGATTATGCATCTCAAGGACTCTTCTTTTGAAGAACAAACCAAAACCCATATTACTAGAAGGTGAACCACCATAAAGAAGCAGAGCAGAAATAAATGGAATTGAAAAAATACAAAAATTTGACAAAATAAAAGATTACCTATGTGAAAAGATAAACAAAATGGACAAACCATTAGCAAGACTAACAGAGAAAAAGAAAAAAGAAATAAAATTAGAGGTTAAAAGGGAGAGATTACAATACTACAGAAATATAAATGATCATAAGAAACTTCTGTGAACAACTATATACTAACAAATTGGAAAACCTTGAAGAAATGGGTAAATTCTAGATTCTGATCTCTAGCCTAGTTATTAATATAAAATATAAGAAGAAGACAGTAGCTTATTGGCTAACGACATTCTTTTAATGTGAGTTATAATGATGTAGGTAGGGATAAAAAGGAGCTTTTCTCCCCCCCCTACTCCCCCCCACCACCACTAGCATTATCAAAAAAGCCCTACAAGTTAAGTATTTGTTTTGGGTATAGAATAATGCAGGAAAGTTATGTAACATTCAATACTAGACAGGAAACAGATCATTCTCAGCAATACAAGGAAAGGCTGGCCATGCAGTGACGGAATGGAGGAGCTGCCGATCCCTGTCCATGGGATTCATATCATCAACAAGAAGCATGCTTTTCACCTTGGCCCTTAATTTCTTTCTTTTTTTATTTTTTTTTTATTTATTTATTTTTTTGACAGCCAGAGTGGACAGTGAGAAAGTGAGACAGAGAGAAA